CATCTGGGCCAGAACACTGTGGACATTTTCGGAACTTCTGCGGTTTCTGATCATCGTCAAATCTATTCTGCGTGGCACTTGTATGGATTCCTCTTGGTTGATCATATCTGAGCCTAGTCGTCGGCAGCCTCTTGGCCTCGTTCGTTAGTTTGAGCTCTCATCCATATCTATTGTTGATGCGTCCAGCAATATTCTTCAGGAAACTCACAAAATCATTGAATGTTACTAGTCCCTTGCTTTTAATGATGTCTCCAGCTTTGTCGGCCCACTTTCTTTTCAGACTATCCTCGGGGAGCTTCTTCATTAGCATTACTATTACGTCTTCATTATCGAGTCTACTCGAGTAACCATTTCCCATTCTTCTGAGAGCTCTTTCTGAATCTTCTAGATAACGCACAAACTCCATCAATGCAACTGCATCGGATCTTTTGATCTGTAGCTCTTTCAGCCTTTTCATGTGGGCTTCAACAATCATATGTGGTTGACCAAAGTTTTCAAGAAGCACGCTTATCGCTTCTTTGTACCTTTGATCAGCATCTAGGTTAACACAGCTCCTAATTGCATCTCTTGCTTTCCCAGTACACTGCGCTAATAGCCGGGTGAATCTTTGTGACTCATCTCTTACTTGCGACTCTATGTTGTCCTTAAAGTTTTTCAGGAACTCAACATACTCTATGGGATCTCCACAAAACTTCATCAATTCTACTTTCGGTAAGGAAGGTCCTTCCTTAATTATCTGTGCTATAGAGCTCCATGCATCCATTTGAGCATAGGTTTCTTGCTCTGTTGCGGTCTGAACATTGTTACTGGGAATATATTCTTGAGATGTGGCATTCAGTCTAATATTCTTTCTTTGTTCCGTTCTACTAAGGTGAGGTGTGTCTGTCACAGATCTTTCTACCGGTGCACTGTGCTGCAGGTCTGACCTATGAGGGTTGTGTGAGCTTGGTGTCACATGTTGTGATAACATGGTCCTTTGTCTTGGGTCAGGGAAAGTTGTGGGAATAGAATGAGTTGGTTCTAGGTTAGGGTGATCTTGCTCGACATGTGGGTCAGGGATTAAGTTATGTTGCTCGACAGGTGGGTCAGGGATTAGGTTATGTTGCTCGACAGGTGGGTCAGGGATTAGGTTATCTTGCTCGATATCTATCCGAAACTCATCTAAGAGTTCCTTTCCGTCATCATCTCTATTATCAGGGGCCTGTTCCATCACTAGATCAATTTTCGCTTGTTTAAGCTCAGATTCTGCACTCAACAGTTCAATCTTGAGGTTGAGTTCTGTCTTCTTCTGCTGTACTAAATCTAACTGGCGTTCTAATTCTTGCTTCTCCTTCAGTGTTTGCATTTTCAACTTTGTTTCTTCTAGCGCTCTTCGCCTCTCAAATATGCTGCTTCTACTGGACAATCTGCTACTTCGGCTCTTACGGGATGTGATAATAAAACCAGATTCTGATGGTGGGTTTATTACTTTTCCACACATCAATCATGCAATCTAGCTGCAGTTTCATATCTCTTTGACCATTGTAATTATCAGTCATCAATTATCTTTTCTCTTCCTCTCTCTCATACTTCATGTAATTTTCATGACTGTTCACGAACTTATGGAATATACTCTCATACCTGTCCATTCTGGCCTTTACTTCTTCCGGTTTCGTTTCAAAATCTTTTATCGACTGCTGTACTCTACTTTGTTCATCTTTAAGCTCTCCCAAGCATCGTGATCTCTCACACTTTGCAGTAGAGGCTTCTTCATTACTAACTGTTGTCTCTTTATCGCTTTCGTACTGACATTTTACTCGGTTAAATAACTTCGAATGATGTAAACTTCAATTTCTTTAAACGCGTCACAAACTTTATTCACAGGAATTTTCATGAGATTCGCTACAACAAATATGAACAATATTACAACATGCCGCAGTAACTAAATAAGGCACCTTATACGTGTTACTTACAAGTTATTGTGACTTTCTCCATATTTTACTTGTTACTATACAATAATACAGTCAAAAACAAAAAAAAACGTTTCGTTGGCGCCAAATCGCCATCTTTTTGCGCCTGCGATCATAGTGCGCTACTTGATGTAATGTAATACAATCGTACAGAAAATATTGTCAGGATTCAATCCTCTTTTAATGGAGTTACATCTATTTTTATCAACGACGTTTCTTATGGAAATAACACTGTTCTTCGCCAATACTACAAACTTTGTTTACCCTCAATCTGACACAAAGCTGTCTCTGAATGAGACCAACACTACACGTCAGTAACATTATCCTGCCTTACAGCTTTATCAACAACTTTACTCATCAACACACATCTCTATAACACTTACGAATTAGGATTAAAACTGAGTAAGATCAGTAGCGCGCTCTTAATAATATTTGCGACTGAGAAAGACATATCAGTTTATTAAACCTTTTCCAACAAGCCAAAGGTGGGCGCCACCCGCCGCGCTGTATAAAGTTGCTTGAAGCAATCACAAAAACTGTGAAATTCCACGCAATACATGCCATGCAAATTTAAACACAAAATGTATGGGTTGTACTTTCATACACAATTGTTAATGAGGCTGAAGCAATCGGCAACCGTTTTGCATAATTACTCCAACGTGATGTAGTCAGTACCAAGCCATTCAATTTTGTAAAACTAGAAATTTATTTTCTAGTACGAACCTCTGAACTAATGAGTATTTTGGGAAGGTACAGCCAGTTTTGTTGCATAAACTACATAAAATTACGACAAAAGATAGGCAGGCCAGTTATTGCAATAACAATGTTATAAATAAGTGAAGATGCAATCAAACATCCAAGAATGACCTATAGCAAATTTGATAATATTCTTTTTTATAACAATATGTGTTTTAATAATCTTCTCTGTTGCGGAATAATTTACCCCAACCTTTTGTTTAATGTATTCCACAATGATATGCGATTTCTGGAGTTCTTTGTTATCTCGACACTCGCATTACCTTCGCCCACTTAAAAACTAACTTACAAGGTATTTTGCACATGCAGTGTAGTTTACATGTATTCTGTATAGTCACGAACTATCGTCAATTTTCCAAATCCGAAACTGATCGCGAAACTTACTTTATCAAATGCGCTGCAACGTGTGGTAGTCAGAACACAGTAATTTCATTTCCTCATGAATAAACAGTTGCGCATTGGCCATCACTTATCACTGTAAATCCCAAATTTAAATAATGCGCGAAATATAAAAATTATCAATTCGTATTGTTAGATATAACGCACTTTTATGCACTACCAACGCAATTTGACCTAAGACGTGATGCTGGTTGAATAAAAACGTCGTTAACTTTGACTATGATCTGATATGAGCCACACGACTTCACTGCGTTCCACAAAACTTAGATTGTAAGATGATTAAGTAATCACGTACTCATATATACAGTAGCTAACTTGCATGGAGCTTGCGTGTGGTTAAACAGAGAAATAGAATGAAGTATTAAAAGATTATTGTCTGCTGCTATAGATTAGTTAACTATGCCCTTGAGAATAGTTTACTTTAACTAAATTTTAACTACAGCTAACGCTAGTAGCTACGTAGCCAGCTCGTGAAAGTTAACTACGTTTTAACTAGCTTCAGTTAAAAGTTTTATAAACTGGCAGCCTCGTGCTGAGCGAACCCAGTTTGATAATATTAACCATGCATATAACTTGCTTTAGGAAATTATTTGTGGGTCAAAAAGGTGAGCTGGCCTTGCAAAATGGTTGCACACCTAGCTAATACCAATGCATGGATGGAAACAAACGATCTATCAAACGCACCAAGTTATCTTATAAATTTCAACTATATAGGGATAAACTCTCAAACGATTCCCTAGTCACTACTTCGTCGTTACAATACAAAAACATCCTAAACACATTCGATCGGAGAGCGCGTTTCACGCATGCCCTCTATCTAAACGCCAATGCAGTTTTCATGCACGCTGTGCGTCATAAGTTTTTATTACTTTACACGATCTAAAAGAGTATGTATCCCGTATATAGAAAATATTCCATGCAGCGAGTGATGTCTGGAACGATGTCACAAAAACAGCGAATCATTTTTCCAGGAACTCGATATCAATATCTTTGTATATTTATCAGGGAGAGAACATAAAAGCTGACTTTTAAGTGAAGAAATGATCGCGGGTATTGATTTGCAACTACTTGTTTTGCCAAAATTAAAGACAACAAATCGAAATAAAAGAACTACATTTTTATTCGCATATCACGTCTTTGCTTTTTTGTTTTTTGTGCAGTTTAAGTTAAGCAAAACCTTGCGGATGTAAACGTACGCATTGTTATGCCCATATCGATTAACTAGATATATATTTGCGCGCGAGTCTGGCCGGTACACAACTTCAAACATCGAAATCATACTCGCTTCAATGTCATTCTATTTTTGATATGAGGCAGTGGGGGTATTTAAAAAAAAATAAAGAGCTAAAGTTGCTAGAGTTAGTGACTTTTTTTTACATAGCGACAAGACAAACGAAACTATCACTAAGTAGAATTCAAAGTTTCATATTTCATTAAAATGTCTATATCAAACCCTGGCGTAATTTACTAAGTATTTGCGGATGAGATCTCGACAAACAAGGTTTTTTTTGAAAAAGAGAAAGTCGAACCAGAATGTCCGATATCAAATATCTGCACGAAGCGCTAAGCAAACGTAATATCTTAATTACGTGCCCAACCCTCTTTTTCACTATGGGACGATGAAAATGTTTATGTGCATGCTCCCGAATACTTCTGCATTGTACTTAAGACAACAAGGAACAACTGAAATAACCCACTCCAACACAATAAGCGCTTACTATAAAGCAAAGTTTCTCGGTAACATCATTTATACGGTACAATTTTTTAACGCATGGGATGCCGAGTTCAAAATTTTTAAAGCATTTTTCCTACAAATGTAATGTATTTCGGTTTTGTAAATTTCAATCTAAATTGTGGGTGAAACATGTCCGGTTAGGAATACAATCTAATACTTACAAAAACAATCCTTTCCGCTGAAAATAAACCCTTTCTCACACATGCTGCATTTGTAAGAACCATAGGTGTTTTGACATGAAATGAACTCCGTAAGATTGCATGAAGATGATGCACATTCATCAATATCTTAACGAAAAAATAAATATATGTTATTTACCAGATTGGAGGTCCGTATAGGGAAATATTTCCCGAGGTATCAAAAACAGCCCGAGGCCGAAGGTCGAGGGACGTTTTAAGACCGTGGGAAATATTTCCCTATACGGACCGACTAAACTGGTAAATAATAGTTTGTGCTTTTTTGCGGTCCAAATTCATATTTTAGCGTTGGCTCTGTGCTTTTAAATCTCGAGCAGCCTCATACGGACCGCACACGTAGCCAATCAGATTGCAAGAAACGCTAAAATATTAATTCGGACCGCAAGAAAAAAATAATTAAGCTACTTATGCACAGCAGAATGATTGAATAAAAATCGTATTTCGCTAGGTAAATGCAATCTGATTTTTTCACGCGTGTAAAATTCCACACACGGCTTTTGATTGGACCTAGCTATATACGATATTCTTCACACGTGTAATTTTTCCTATATCATTTTGGCGGCAATTTGTTTTTGCCATTATAAATATATTTAATGTCCCAACCAATTAGACATAACACAGTAAATGCGCACATGGACGTTATTCGTTTTCATAGCAATTTTCAGGCTTACAGTAATTAGGTAAAATTACAAAATATTTTGCAAAACGTTTTTCAATCATGAAATAGAGCAAGTTGTGTCAGTGCTCTAATTTTCCCGCTGATAGATTCCCTTATCATAATGTCACATTTAAAAACTCGAAGTTAAGAAAATATTTTCAGGAAGAATAAATGTTACTTACCAACACATTCACCGCCATTTGAATGGAACCCCTCTGCACATACACAATTGCAAGAACCTTTTGTGTTATTGCATCTTTCCTGTGGACGTTGACAGTTACAGCACGAATATCTCCAACATTCATTAATATCTAAGTACAAAATCATGATATATACTTTGTTTTAATTGTCGTGTCTCATTATCAAGAATCATAGCCTCTTTTCATGATAGGTTACTTTTAAATTAGGTTTGACATTTTGGTTGAACAAATTAATATTTGACAGGAAATATTTTATGGTCAGGAGCCGCTGTTGTTTCACAGACGGACTTTTTAATGGCGCAAATATTATTTTGCTGTCAGGACGCCTTTATATTAAAATGGGAAATTCTGAAAAGAAACGAATGCTGAAAGGTAACGAAATTAAAACCTTAAAAGGAACGGAGGAAAGATCTGTTGGATCAAAAATATGAAAAAATGTGTTAAAAGTTTAATACGAATTCCCCCGCGTTTTATTTCAAGCTCCGCCACGGCCGCATGAGCACAATTTCAAAAGCGAATGTAATAGAAAACAGGCTTTTTTCATAAATATCTGCCCCTTCAATAACGACGATGAGGCCAGCTGATAATAAGTAAAACAAATATTCAAAGTTCCGTGTGAGTTTTTAACGTACGGCGTCTTCGACGCAGCAAGCTAGTCAGACTCTGGTGATCGCGGTTTTGTTTCTTGTCTTTCTTGGAGGGTGGTGACTGACTTTGATATATTTGAAAAGTGCAGCAAGATGGAAATTATACTTTTCATCCACCATAAAAGTAGGGTTCATCGGTTAACTATGTTACTACTGACACCCCGACTAAAATCATGACTATACACTGACTATAACGCCACTTCTGTTTCAAGTAATCAATAATTTATGGCACTTTATAGCTGGGGGATTCAATAAAATATTACCATTTTAGGTAATTCCTGAGGGCAAAGCTCCACATATATACTGTATATATATATATATATATATATATATATATATATATATATATATATATATATATATTTATATATATATATATATATATATATATATATATATATATATATATATATATATAACAAGAATGACAAACTGGTTTATTCCATTAAAACTTTATTACGACAAATTTGTTTCGTATGGCAAGCAAAGCTTACCACACTCGTCAGGGAACAACTGATCGCGTTTATGAGCGCTATGAAATATTATATGCTCAATTCAGGCCTGTTGTGATAGTTCGTTGTGCGGTCGGTAACGTATCGGATTGCTGTCATTTGCTATACAATAAGTGTCTTTTTCTGTGACACTTATTGTATAGCAAATGACAGCAATCCGATACGTTACCGACCGCACAACGAACTATCACAACAGGCCTGAATTAAGCATATAATATTTCATAGCGCTCATAAACGCGATCAGTTGTTACCTGACGAGTGTGGTAAGCTTTGCTTGCCATACGAAACAAATTTGTCGTAATAAAGTTTTAATGGAATAAACCAGTTTGTCATTCTTGTTATTAACCGCTCTAGCATACGGTATTGAGCACTCTATACCTACATGATTTCGAACTCGATACTTGTTATCTTCACACTGATTTATATATATATATATATATATTTTTTTTTTCTATACAATTTTCATCGAATTTCCTTCGTTCCAGATTCATAAATGGTAAAAGTTCAGATGTTCGCTGAAGACCAACTGAGATCACATGCAGCTGTTTCAAAGGAAGCAGTTTTAAATCCTCGTGGATGTGATTTAAACATTAATTTTAGTTATAATGGCACGGTGCGATTGCACAGCCTTACTGTTCATTTAACACAAGATGAAACTGAAATTTAACGTTATAATTACATTGGCTACTCCATGTAAGTGTACAGGCTAAATATTTTCACACAACTTTAATAGAAAGAATTATATCTCATCCCTGGTGAAATTTCTACATTGACAGTATTCCTCCAATTTTAACAGGAATCTAGTCTCCACATGTCGATTTCCTTTAAAAGATTGGCGTCTTCATGAATCATACACACTGCTTACTACAATTAATAATTTAGCTGATATTTTCTTGATTAACATGGAAAGATTCAACCCATTCTACAATCATCTAACTACCGACCCTACCAATTCCTGCAATTGGTATCTTCAACCTACATCCCGCAGTGTTTATCGTGCTGAAAGAGGACATAAAAACTTTATTAAAAAAATCCTCTGCATATTTTTGATGCTTCTATCACCTTCCCTTTTGTAGATAATTTTATTCCTTTTATTACTTCCTTATTACTTCCCTTTTATTGAAAATTCACTCATGCCAGCCAGGTGAAGTGAAACCAAGACTTACAGACTTAATAAGGCGCCTCAATAAAAGGCAACATTTCTCCCAGTTCTTCCTAGTTATAGTATAAAGGTCAAAAAATTTTGGGGGAAATAGAAACGTATTTCCGCACAAAAAGTATAGAATTACTTACAATTTTCGAGTTCCGAAGTAATATAAAATAGGGAAATATTGACACATTGTCGGGGATGCTGCTCTGACTTATAACAAGAAATCTAGTCCCAAGATCGAGGCACTAACTGGTAATTGAAAGTTAAAAAAAGTATTTTCTGGACATTCAATATCAAATCAGGCAACAACAGAGTAAGTTAACCATACTATTATTCTTTTTGCTCGTTTTCAGTTTCAATCTAAGAACCAGTAGAATATTTGCCATGGATACAACGGCGTGAACAAGAACAACTCGTTGAAGCCCTAAGCACTGAAGAGCTCATAATCATTTATGTTTGTCAAACGAAGCAACTGGCGATATCTCTACAGATAGGGTAGCGTTTCATATATGAACTCAAAGAACAACTCAGAAATAATCCAAGATGATTTCGAATTCGTACTTCTTTCCTTTGAAAAAAACATTTCACAGCGATATAAACTTGATGTTTCCCGAGTAAAACGTACAAATTTTCTGCTCATAAGTCAATGTCAGCATTTCTCCAGCCTCGCTCTGCTTCAAACATATAACTCTTATTCCTTTCGAAAATGTAGTTAGCGTTTCTGTCATGGGCAATATCAAATTATTCATGGCTTAAGTAAATATTATTTTTAGTCTTCGTTTGGACACTTGCGTGAATAAAAACGGCAGGAATGGTGATACAGATTGTGATAGAGAATAAAGAATTACTTTAATGGTGGAGATTTTGTTTCATAATTAGTGCGAAATTGGCAGTGTGGATCATGTATGAGCCTAAAAGTTGTTTTCTGTTACTGAAAAAAGCAAAAGTTCACCAAGTAGCACGAAACCAGAACAGTTGTTCAAATTTTAAAAAGTTGCTCAAAAGTTGGCGAGCACAATCTGTAGAGGCCTAGTTTTTTTTCATGGTGAAATCAAAACGAGATGCAACATAGAACATTACCCCGAAAACTACGGGACAAATTATTTAACCATTGAATTTTAAGCTTGCAAATTATGAATTATTTCTCTTACACCGCTTTGTCTTGTACTGTATTGTATCCAAGCTCTTCTTAGTTATATGTCACTCTTCATCTTGTTTCTTCTCGTTTTACTTTGCCCAAACTTTATGAAACAGCAGAAAAGCTTTTGCAAAAGAGTTTACCAAATGACAGTTAAATTGCTGACGTTCTCATTGAAATACAAACTTTTGTCTTAGTCAATTAAAACGTTGTTAATTTTTTGCACCGATATCGATATAAACTGATATATAAATTACAACCAACTACTTTAACTAGTTTTGGAAATCATTTCCGACAACGGGATATCCGTAGTTGAAGGAATGTTTACAGTTCTCCAAGCACGACTATACCACGGACACACACAACCCTTGATCGAAGAAGAGAAAAAGCTATTTCTCACGTAACTAGCTGAGAACGATGGAGGTACTAAAGTTCTGCATGTTTCTCAACCATGTGAGACGTTTTGCTTCAACATCCACCATAGCACACAGGCACTAAAAACGACTGGGGTGAAGGAGTCATGTTTAACTTCAACAACTCTTTAATTATACTGACGTTTCTTCTCACGTTGTTTGGCGTTAAACGAGCTGGTAAGAGTCTGGCGTCGATGAGTTGAAGCGTAAGGATTAAACACCCTGACATTAGAAAATCCTTTTTGACATCTCTGCCAGTAACTCGCGCGGCCATATCCACTCTGGCATCGTCAGCTGAATTAGCACTGGATGGAAGTACTTCGCCAGTTAAAGGAGCAAGAGCAGGTTTAGTAGAAATGTCATAGGCCACGTCGTCTATAGCAGAAGCGAGAAAGTCAAGGATTTCGTCACATCGTCGATGAATAAAACCTCCTTTTAGGCACGACAAGGAATGCTCAACGGTAAAAGATTTTCCACAAGCGCAAAAGGATGCGAAGCACTTCAATGGCCACAGATAGCACATATGTAAACTGCGTCAAAGAACTCCCCTTTCTTGAGGACATACCCTTCATTAGCAAGTGGAAGTGTGTCAACCAAGCTGAGGATACCTTCAACTCGGCGAGATTTTTTTTTCGAATTCTGATGGATGATCTTGGTTTAGGGATTTTGACAGATGGTTCTTGAGTTCTTGATACCTGGAATAGTGCGCATATGGTAAGTAAATCTGCTATGAAACCCTGATACAAATGCAGCATATGCGGCTTGGGGCTCGAATTTTGCAATTCCACTTAAAACGTGGAGTTGCTGACACCATTTGCTAACTAAAAACAAAATGTACTTATCCTTTCCATCTTTAGAGCTAAAATATTCTCCAAGGTATACTTATGTTCTTCAGTTGTTATACCAACACCAGTTCCAGCGAAGATCTCTATGGCAGTCTGCTCCAGGTGCGGCTTCACGATCAAACAGGATTTATCAGCACGCAGATAGTAACCAAGGCGAGGACTATGAATAGCAATGTTCTCCCATCAGGAACACAATTGGACAAGTCTACCAGCACCGCTAAGATCATCAGCGAAAGCATTATGTCGAACATCACTAGCTTCATCTGATTTAATCAACTGCAGCAAGGGTGTAATGGAAACAGCATACAGCGGCATGGCTAATGGGCCTGTTTGATTACTTCAGCCGAAGTAATTTCTTTCCCACCTTGGACAAACAATCTTGACGCTGTGACATAATAGTTGAAGGTGTAAATTGCTATGGGAAGACAAATGTACTGAATGTTGGGTAACATGATTCTCTGGCTAATTGATTTGAACGCGTTTGTAGCATCCACCAATAACTTTGCATCTGTTTCATCTTCTGTAAAGATTACCAAAATAGCATGAACTGCCGCCTCACAGCCAGCTGGTTTTCTGGCACAAAGCTGAACATCACCTGCATTTTGCATTATTTGAGCCTGGATTGGAAAGATAATAGACTTCCCGATTATCCTACGAAACACTTCACCAATTCCGATGGGACGAACACCTGGCTTCTTATCCAATGGTAATAGGCGACATGCTAAAAACGGTTCCAAACTTGTGGAGTATAATAATCCTCGGGTCGTGCCGCTGGATGTTTCTGCAGAAGGTCCTTATACACAACGTTATTAAGAGGTAGAACTCACCTAGAAGATTGCCATCCAACAATTCACTTTACCACGGAGCATTAGACTAGCAAAAGTCTTGGAAAGTTGTTCAATGGAGACCTTCCTAGTAGGAATCAGCGTTGATTTGTTCGTGCTATATTTCTTAAGCAGCTCATCCAAATTCCCTTGCTCCCATAAAGCAATGCGCCGCGACCACGCCGTGATACGTCATGGTCTTTGGATCACGATTTGAATCTTTGGATATGGATCATGGTTTTTGCATCTCGATTTGATAGAAATAATGTTGTTGATTACCAGGCTTTACTCGCGCATGCGCATAATTGACAAAACAGTCGAACGTCGACCATCCATAATATGGCAACATTGGATTGCGCTATGTACTCCCGGGTTCCGGGTGTAATTCCAAATCTCCGGGGGAATTAGTACCCTAGCAATAGTACGCCGGCTCGGGAACAGATATCTTTTTGCAAAAACGCATAATACGCACCATCAGGTTCTTCCAAGCACCAGAATTCTCAATGGAACATGAATGAAACATTGAATTTAGATATTTAAAACTCCTGTTAAAACATTAAGTTCAAAACATGACATATTTGATTAATAGTTCGACCCTTAAACAAAAAAGACACGCATGTCAACCATATAATTAACAATAGACAAGATCTAGAAGTATATGGTTTAAAGATAAACGCAACAATTAACACCTAAAACGAAACGTTTCATGGTTGCTTTCCGTTTCCCGTGGGACAATCCAATTCATATGTTATTAGACAAGAGATACACAAAATCCGGTATATAAATAGCCTGATTTATACTAGAGACGGTTAAGACGAAGTGTGTGCAAACACTTGCTAACAGGGGATCACTCCTCACGCGAGTTATATCCCCACTAAAATTATACTTCATTCAGCAGTCCTAACATTTGAAATTCCTGTTGAAGTAATTCAGATAATTTTTACTGTGACATTCGTAACTGGATAGAAAAATAAGGACACGAGGATAACAAGAAATGTTGACAAGGAAGAAGATTGAATAACTAATCACGCACGGAAAATACGTACCCAGACACATCGTTCCATTGGAAGAGAAACCTTTCTTACATACACATTTGTAAGAACCTGGGGTGTTTTTGCACGAGATTAAGAAGGCTGGATTGCACGGGGATGACAAACATTCATCATTATCTAAATGAAATGGTTAAAGGAAAATATATTAATAAACACCAAACTGGATTGAATGAATGATAAATATACTGCCTGCCTAAATATTATGCTATCGCACGGGATATTTGCAATATTAGACTACAGTTCTTAAATGTTTGCTTTCGGATCGGCTTTCTCTCTTCGAGTCTTCGTCTGTTCTGTCTTCTTCGTCTGTTCTGTATTGTTGTGCTTCTTCAACCTTTCATATGTCTTTTATTCCGTTTGTCCACTGAAACACTGAAGTTTCTGGAGTTGTGCACGCCCTTGCGTGTACATGCGCCGAACTTTACACAGCCAAAGAGCGTTGTAGGTTAGAGATGTAGGTTGGCCTTAGAAGCTCGCTCCAGTTCTCATATCTTGTTTATTCAAGGCCTTGACGCACTTTTCGAGTTTGTCTTTTGCTTTATCGATCAATAATTAAAAATGTTCTCAACTGAAAATATTTATCATCAACAACTAGCAAAATTTTCAAATAGTACTTTGTGAACAATATCTTTCAACTTAAACTATTTTCATTCTTGCTTTTATCGAATTAAACTTTTTGTGACGTTAATGCTTAAAATGCTAGACCGCGCAGGATATAAAACACAATTGATTGACATAAGAGCTTACATTTGCCTACAGCATGCGCATTTTTTTAAATTTGACAGTTGAGCTTATATAGTAACTACACTTTGGACGTCATTCTTTAATTGGCATAGCAATTTTGAAAATTTTGGAAAACATTTTTTAAACATTTTCCGAAAGCCTAAATCATGAAATAGAGCAAGTTGTGTCAGTGCTCTAATTTTCCAACTGATAGATCACAATGTCATATTTAAAAACCCCAAGCTAAGACAATTAAGATTCATTTCCAATTAAAGTGCCTATATCACTTGTGGGATCTTTACGGATTTGAATAGGGCTTGAAAAATTTGTTTATAAGTTCTACAACCTTTTTTGATATAATTAAATAGTTTCGAAAATACGTCGGTTAGGGGGACTGGGACTCAGGAATGATTTGCAAACACGCCGTCTTTTATAATGTAAACATGAAGAGTTTCACTAGCGATATAGTTTGCGCTTTTCAAAAAAAAATGCAGGAACGGTGCGTTGTGTATAGCTGTAGCAACCGGGCGAGTTTTTCTCAAAATGTTTTACGTTATTGGAAGATCGAAGTAAAATTACAATTGATTATATTATGTTTGACAAGAACTCGTTTCCTGAGTCCCAGGCCTCGAGCACGACGGAAATTTAGGCAAATCGTCATGTTTAGATGTAAATATTTTCGAAACTATTTAATTATATTAAAAATGATTGTAGAACTTATAAACTAATTTTCCAAGCTCTATTCAAACCGTAAAGATCCCACAAGTGATATAGGAACTTTAACCGCAAACAGGAATGTCGATGGGATCATAAATTAAATATTTTCAGGAATGATAAAAATATAAATATTACTAACCGACACATTCACCAGCATCTGAATGGAACCCCTTTACACATCCTCATTTGCAAGAACCTGGTGTGTTAATACACTTTTCTTTTCTTGAACTTAGACAGTTACACTGCGGGTATGAATTACATTCATCAATATCTATACAATACGATGAAAAATCATATCAATACTTTGTTTCAATGAAATAGGTTCAGTACTAACGTATAGTATAAAAGGTCAAGCATGCATGCAACGTAAATATTATATGTGAAACGTTGCACATTCAATATTTCTAAAAACTCCTTAATTGTCATGTCTCATTGTCAAGAAGCACAGCTTCTTTTCATGATAGGTTACTTTTTAATTAGGTTCGACATTTTTGTTGAAGAAACTAATATTTGACAGGAAATATTTGTGCTCAAGACTCAAGAGTCACGAGCCGCCGCTGTTTCGCAGACTGACTTTTTAATTGCCCAAACATTATTTTGCTGCAGAACGCCTTTATAATTATTAAAATGGGAATTTCTGAAAAGAAACTAATTCTGTGAAGTAACTAAATTAAAGACTGGAAAGGAAAGGGGGAAAGAACTGTTCGAACGAAAGTATAAAAAAATGTGTTAAAGCGCGGTTTATTTCAACATTTTCAAGCTCCGATACGGCCGCATGAGCAGAATGTAAAAAACGAATGTAATGGAAAACATGCTTTAAGATCTGCGCCATCAATAACGACGACGACTCCAGCTGATGATGAGTAAATTAAATATTTAAAGACTAAAGTTCCATGTGAGTTTTTGACGTACGGCGTCTTCGACGCGGCAAGCTAGTCACAGACTCTGGTGATCGCGGTTTTGTTTCTTGACTTTCTTGGAGGATGGTGACTGACTGTGGTAGATTTGGAAACTGCAGCCAGACATAAATTAGACTTTTCAACCAGCATAAAAGTAGGGCATCTGTTAACGATGTCACTACTGAGACCCCGACTAAAATAACGCCACGACACCCCGACTAAATAACGATTACCCCGACTATAACGCAACTTCTGTTGCAATTATTTAATAATTTATAGACCTTTAGCAGGGGATTCGATAAAATATTAACCTTTTAGGCAATTAACGAGGGCTAAGGCTAAGCCCACTGATATATTTTCCAGATAATCATTTTTCCAGATCACATGCAGCGGTGTGAAAGCTAGCTGTTTTAAATCCTCGTGTGACGAATTTTAATCCGTCTGTGTGGGTGTCGGCAAATATATCTTCATATACAGAATTTCAGCATATATATTTTTATGTTTTCTTACAAAGAACTAAGACTAAAACTATTAAAGTGCCTATATCACTTGTGGGATCTTTACAGATTTGAATAGGGCTTGAAAAATTTGTTTAGAAGTTCTACAACCTTTTTTGATATAATTAGATAGTTTCGAAAATACGTCGGTTGGGGGGACTGGGACTCAGGAATGATTTGCAAACACGCCGTCTTTTATAATGTAAACATGAAGAGTTTCACTGCCGATATAGTTTGCGCTTTTCAAGAAAAAAAATGCGGGAATGGTGCGTTGTGTAACTGGGCGAGTTTTTCTCAAAATATTTTACGTTATTGAAAGATCGAAGTAAAATTACAATTGATTATATTATGTTTGACAAGAACTCGCTTCCTGAGTCCCAGGTTCCCGAGCACGACGGAAATTTAGGCAAATCGTCATGTTTAGATGTAAATATTTTCGAAACTATTTAACTATATCAAAAAGAGTTGTAGAACTTATAAACTAATTTTTCAAGCTCTATTCAAATCCGTAAAGATCCCACAAGTGATATAGGCACTTTAAAGTATAATTGCTATTAAAGTTTCTCAAGCTACGGTACACTTGCTTTCTTCGGCGAATTGTTCCTTTCTTGTGGTTTCTGCAACTATAGCTGCGATAATCCCGATGTCAGAGCTCTCCCGATAACTTCGCTTACACGTTTACAACTTAATGTCTTGCTCAAGTCACTGAAGACTATAACAGAGCATTTGATCATTGAAGATCTACCATTTGATCATTAAAGATCCATGTAATGTAAAGTGCGACGCTTCACGTAATAAAATTCGTACGCTTTAGTTTATCGAGTATATTTCAGCGTGTAGACCACTCCTTAATCGATTCTACTTCAACATAAGTTCTGCTTCGTTCTGCCTCAGTGTTCACTGATGATTACCCTTTATTCCCTCGTAGCTTGATTATAAATTCTATACGTATAATCTCGTAGCTTGATTACATATTCTATATGTACAATAATTTATTATTCTACTGGCTCCCATGCAGGGCTGCACCTCGTAGATGTGATTTAACCATTAAATTTTAGTTATAACGGCACGGTGAATAACACACCATTCTGTCCATTTAACACAAACTAATACTCTCCTGAAATTTAACTTTAACAAGACGCCTGTTCTGACGTTAACTCCGGCGTGCGTGCCGCGCAAGTGCCGGTCTTTAATATAAAACCTCCGAACAAAAACTATACAGCTCATGCTCATTTAGATGCCTTAATTGCGAACCTAAATGTCGTTCAATCGCGAAATTCAGTACTTTAAAAAGTATAGAAGTTCAATTGTTAAAGATATAAATAAACCGCATAATACGTTCACTTTGTCTTTGGAATTAGCGATAATATAGTTATATTAAATCATCAATCCTGTGCAAACTGCGACGTGTCAACGCGCCCATACACGACCACATCTGGTTAAACCGTGGCGGCGAAATAGCAGCGATATTATTAAAATAGGACCAGAATCTACATGTAATCAATATATTCTTACCCCAATTCAATCTAAACTAAATCGAACAGCATCAAAAGAACGGTTTATTTGTTCCTCTTGGAGGAATTGTCGTATCATGCGAGCGAAATCAAATCGCGCATGGGAAAATTAGCCAAAGCTGTGCACCACAACTCTTGGGAGACAAAACTGTGACGTAGATAAATACGGTCACATACACATTTCAAATACTAGTATATTTCGCTCCAAAACACACTTGAAACGAAAAAAACAAAAACAAAAACAAAACAAAAAATAGAGGCGAATTTTCAACTCCGTCGCTGACGCCTGAGTAATTACATAGACTACTGTGTGTGTTCGTGGTAGTCGTTCCTGGAGAACTTTAAACATTCCTTCAACTACAGATATCTCGTTGTCGGAATGGAACTCTAATATTAGATAAAGTAGTTTTCTCTAGTTTATATTTATATTAAGTTTATATGCGTAATTTTATATCTTTCCTCTTGTATTGTGCATGCATTATAAAAAGTATATGATATCGATTTATTATGTATTTATAGTAATGTTCGAATAAATTTTATTATTAATACTATTAATAGGGTTTAAGTCACATTAAACTATCCAGCCATGCTAGTGGTCGCCGCATAAAAAAAAAAAAAAAAAAAAAAAAAAATTACATAGACTACTCCATTTTAGTGTACGGGTTAAATATTTTCACACAACACTAATAGAAACTAGAAATACATGCATGCAGCAACCCCTCGCCTCGGTTAAACGAAATTAGTTAATGATCGTTAGAAATTTTATGTGGTTTGAGGGTTTTGGAGGGTACATGGTATCTGATGGTATGTGAGAAATAGAAATTGAGAAAAGTATGGAAATATTTTTCTGCACGTGGAAACACTGTAGTCATAGCAACTCGCAACGGCCGTATATTTTTAAAGAATCAAAGTTTACCCTCATATCATAGGTAGCCCAACACTCGTGGTCCGCGCGCGTACACGCTACTCAGTGATTAGCATATATTAATTTATCCTAAGGTTGGCAACTTTATCACCAATTATCAATAATATATCACATACATACATGTCAAATTTCGATAAAAACTGAAAAACTACCACAAAATACTGCAAAATTAATAAATATAAATGAACTTGGATATATTTTCTAAATTTCGACATAGTTTTTAGCTTCAAAATGTATTGGGAAATACGGAAATTTGTTCATTTAAAATAACGTTTTTGAAAATATATTGTCGAAATTTTCTTGTCGATAGGCGGGATCCAATTTACTCTACATTACGTCACCTTCGGAGTCAATCGGAGAAATCCCGAGTCAATCCTATTGGCTGTTTCTCTCATGGAGCAATCTTCGGAAATTTTCCGACTTTTCAGCAGCCAATAGGATTGACTCGGGATTTCTCCGATTGACTCCGAAGGTGACGTAATGTAGAGCAAATTGGATCCCGCCTATCGACAAGAAAATTTCGACAATATATTTTCAAAAACTTTATTTTAAATGAACAAATTTCCGTATTTCCCAATACATTTTGAAGCTAAAAACTATGTCGAAATTTAGAAAATATATCCAAGTTCATTTATATTTATTAATTTTGCAGTATTTTGTGGTAGTTTTTCAGTTTTTATCGAAATTTGACATGTATGTATGTGATATATTATTGATAATTGGTGATAAAGTTGCCAACCTTAGGATAAATTAATATATGCTAATCACTGAGTAGCGTGTACGAGCGCGGACCACGAGTGTTGGGCTACCTATGCTCATATATTTGTGAAAAAAATGGCTAAAATACGACAAGATTCTTACCTTTTTCTGGAAGTTAAGTTACTCATCTATTATCAGTGTTATGGTAAATTATTTTAATTATTAAATGCCATGAAATATAACATCATACGTCTCATAAAACGCTTCGACTGGTTTTTGTACGGGAATGTTTTGATTTTGTTTTCTTTTTGTCATTATGAAAACGGAGTTTATAAATAAAATTATAATGTCGTTTATCACATAACACATTGAGATTTATAGTGAAAAAAATTTGAGTATATTAAAGTTGTGTTTGCCACAAAAGAATTACTTTTTAAAGCTGTGCCCGTCTGCCGGATGAAATATTATCAAGTGTAAAATATTCCGAGTTCATTATACACGGTGAATTTGGTCGAAAATTTGATCTTGTTATTTGTTAAATCGTGAAAAGTCCTGACATCATTCGAGTTTCCCTCTAATTTAGTAAAAATACATATATTCCATATATATATAAAAATATAAATTTGTAAATTTCATCAAAATTTTGCTAAATGAGAGTTATTACTCCGGCGTCAGCGACGGAGTTGAAAATTCGCCTCGGTTTTGTTTTGTTTTTGTTTTTTTTTTATTATTTTTCG